CCGAGGGAGAGCGAGAAATTTCCAAATCGCGAAGAAAGCAGAGCTTGAAGAAATATAAAGTGGTGGTATGCCCCTTGACTGGTCAAAAACACAACGACCCGATGTGAACAATAAAAGCGATGTCGTAAACTGCAGAAGCTAACACACTTCCTGAAAGAGTGTTGGCTCCAGCCACATTGTGCGGATAATAATGAAGAAGTACAAGGAAAAACAAAGAGATCTACACACGGCTTTCCTGATATGGAACAAGCTTCCACTAGGTATTTAATGATGCCATATGGCAATGCGAGAACATGTTCCGGAAGAGTACATCCTATGGATAATGATATTCCATCACAAAGCCATAAGCCAAAGTAAAATACGGCAGGGCAATCAAAGTAATCCCGCATAAAGATTAGCGCACATCGGGAGTGGTGCATTCCCCTTACTCTTCCTAATCATGGACGCAGTAACGCAAGTCCTCAAACAAAAGCCTTCAAAAGCTTCAATAATTCGCTCTACGAAAATGGAATCCCAACTAGAGTTGTACCACTTGTTGCGAAACATTTAGACGACATAATATGGTAGCAGAAAGCCAGTTGTGGAAATCAAGTACGTTCATGGTGACATTCGATAAGAAGACAAAATTCGAGTATCTATTCTAATCTCGGCTGAAGGAAGACTTCAGAATGAGCTATCCTGCCAAGTGCAACGGATAAATAGAGGGCCTTCATAGAAGTTCCATGTAATAAGCGATTGTCAGTGCGACTCAAACTAGTGTATCGTACTGTATTCGTCTAACAGCGCGGTATGAAATGTTAACACAAGTTTTGTGTCATGGGGAGAAAAATGCTGCGGTGGGCATTGGGTATCATGCTGCTAGATCAGGGCTATCATGACATAGTTCGCTAGGATCGCACTTGCTCCCACTGCCAAAAAGATGCAGAAAAGGCGACTGCAATGGCGCAGAAAAAACGTGCATCAAAGAATTGCAATGTCGCTAGTGTTTAATGGGAGAAGACACAATAGAGCCAGGATGCGCTGACCTAGGATAGATGAACATCATGTTTTGTAGATAGCTGACTCGCATAGTAGACCCTGCGTAAGCGGAAAAATGCGAAGATTGAAGGAAATTCCTCGGTCAGACGTAGGCAGAAGTTGTAAAGTGGTTCTATGTTCAAGATAGAATGAAACAGAGAGAATTTAGAAAAGATGTTAAAGAATTTGGAGCAACATTAAATGCAAAAAGAATATATCTCAATTTCATTCGCAGCGCATTTTGCAGAATTTTCAAAACTATACTTTAAATACACTAGTCAATAATTAACGCAACCAATGTGCGCAGGTTCCAGACACAAATGCAATACATGGATGGAAGTATTGAAAGCAGCACATCATGAAGGAGGCTATGACTTTTCGCCACCCTTCAATGTTGTAACTGAGCAAACATACCGCATCAATTATTAGATGATCTTTTTGCGCATGTGCGATATTGATCTGGGCCACATAGTCCAAGGTTGTATGGGCAAAACAAGCTCCCACCTAAGAGACGATTGCATAATGTTGATGAGAGCAGCACAGATATTTAGACTGCAGAAAGTGATGAAGGAACTGACAGCGGTAAGTGCATTGCGACCATCTGCGGCATCAGAAGGACGTGCTTTAGTGGATGAAGCATTGCGAGACAACGCTTCGTCCATACTAGCTGACATCGAGTCAAAATGGGACCGAGCTTCGGAAACCTTTACTAGGTCACTGAAAAGCGTCTATTATTTGTGAGACCTGGCTTTGCTCTGCCTCTC